TATAATTTATAAACAACATTGTTTTCTTTCAATTTGAACTGTGAAGAAAATAAAAACAGGTTAAGGAAGAAAAGATATCAAAATGTAAATGTTACCTCACATGTGATATAACAAAATAATCAATAGCTAAAAGAAATTATCCAGTTCCTGATACTACATACGGATAGATATTTAAGAACTATTATTTTTCCTCACTCAAATTTATTTTAGTATTCCTTTTGGTATTTGAGTGTGAAATATAGAGAAACATATGTAGATAGTCTAAAGGTCTAGAGAAACATGTTTCATGCATGAGGGTTATTTCTGAGAAATTTGATTGTGATTTTTTATTTTGAGTTGTTGGAGATCAAATCCAGGGCTTCATGTAGCCTTGGCCAGAGCTCCACCACTGAGCTACATGTCTAGGTCTATTGTTGCATCTGTTTAACTGTACATTGAAAAGTTAGTGAACAAGGCAGGGCATTTTTTTTGAAGTTTCTTATCAGTAGTAGATATTCTATGAAGAACGGTTTCAGCTCAGATAATTAACTGAGGTGATGAATTGTAATGGATTACTGAATTCCTACACCTGATGTTCATGAAATAATAGGTAAGTTCCAGTATGTGTACACACATTGTCTGTTGTCTCTCTCTCTCTCTCTCTCTCTCTCACACACACACACACACACACACACACACATACACACACACCATAGCAAACAAAGACCATAAAGGCATAATTACATATATACATGTTACATATGTAGAGTCTCCAGAAAGGCATTTCTGGAGTAGAGGAGAAGATAGCATTTATTTCCATTAAACCTGAGAAACTGCCTTAGAATTTGGGGAAAAGCTAAGAATTGTCACAAACACTTACAAGCATTAATGAATGCAAAAGTCTATGGACAGCTTCTATTTCTCCTTTCTGACTTGTGAGAAGCACTGATGGCCATTGAGGAAACCCACAGGAGAAGGGCTGGTGGTGACTAAGGTGAAGGCTCTGGGCTACCTATGAATTAAAGAGCTGATTGTAAACCCAGGACAACTTCCTCTCCTACAGAGAGAAAGGGGATGGAGTACTGGCCAGAAAAACTGGTTATTCTGAAAGAAGCTGAACACTGCTTCACTCAAACTCAGTGCTTTACCATCCCCACTGGTTACTTAAAAATACCTAACCTTGAAACACCCAGCCTTCAAACTGAAATCCAGGAAATCCCAGAAAATGTGGTAAATAAATCTAAATAATTTTTATTACATTAGAGTAAATAGAATGTCTGATAGAAATGTACATATGTTTACATATACAATAGTAAACATGAAAACATAATACTACTAACAATAATGAGAAACAGGGGTGTGGTAACAGAGGGAGAGAGGAGAGTAATTTAGTGTAAGGAACCACATAATTCAGGAGTAAATATAAAAGTAGAAAGAGAAGGAAATTCTCAAATTGCTTCACACAATTCATCCTCTTGATACAGTATAAAAATAAATCCAATAAAGACAGAAGTCAAAGACTAGATGATAAACTAACAATGAAATGAAACAGGAGGTAGCACCCTAAGGAAAACTTAAAGACCCAAACAACATTAGAAAACCAATATACAAATTAGAAAGTACAAGTATCATAATAGATACCATAGAAAATCATAAAGGACATGTGAGGTACTTGCAACAAAAGTAGATACATATAAGAAAGGAACAAAAATAATTAAGACCAATCTTGTACAGAAGAGGATAAGGAAAGACAACAACTTATTAAGATAACCACCATTCCTGATGGCCTGAGCTCACCAATGGGACAGAAGTTACAGTCAAAGGTAAAATAAAAAATACACTGAAAACTAAATCTGGATTTATAGGTTGAAACACCAGCTCACGTTTCTGGAAAATTAAATACATAATTGTGAATAGTGACATATATCTTATTTAAGCTATGGAATCTAAAGAGTAAAGAGTTATCTGAATATCCAGACAGAAAAATCAACATCAAAACACATCCTAAGGGATGAAGACGAACTACATTCCCATATAGTAACAGAAAGCCTCAGAAGAAAATGAAATAATGTTACCCAAGAATATTATATGTGATCTTCGATATACTAAACCACATACTCCGTCATAAAGTACTGATAGAATATAGCACTTTCTAAAATGTCTAGTAACAAATCCAGGCAATTAAAAGTTAGACACTGGGTGAAAGGACTTTTCATGAATATTAGATACATTTGTATAGATAAATATAAGTAAATACAATGGAAATAATTGTCACTGAAGAGAATGACACTACCATACAACTGAACAGGTTAATCTGTAAGTGGAGAAAAGAGATAAAAAAATAGGCATGTTCATCTCTGCTATGAGAGACTTTCTCATTTTTCATACCAGAGGTTTCATCAATTATACTCAATTAAAAACATGATCTTTATTTTATTTAATTTTCTTTTTTAGTACCAGGGATCGAACTCAGGTCCTTGTGCTTGCGGGGCAAGCGGCTGCACCACTGAGCTAAAAACATGATCTTTAAAAGGCCTAAAAATAGCAGCTATAGCATATTATGAATTTTTTCCTATCCACTGAAATATTTATGATTACATAGAAGGATAAGAAAATATATGAAATCCTGATATTTGAGGGGATATTTAATTCACATAGATAAGTTTCACAAAAATAATAGAATCATTTTTGTGAAGGAGGTGCATGTGTGTGTGTGCGTGCGTGCGTGTGTGTGTGTGTGTGTGTGTGTGTGTAAGGCTCTGGAAGTAAACTGCCAAGGTTTTACAATGATTATGGAAGTACGAATATATTGGCTTTCCTTTTTGTATTTTTAAAACTTCCAATGATGAAAAAATTAAAGTCTACCCATTAGAAGGGATCACCACCATAATTTTAAGTACGAGTAGAACCCCTCAGAAATTTTGACCTTATATAAATAGTACATAAATTATAAATAGAATGTAAATATTTTCCTTTTATCACTCTTTCTCACTGGGACTTGGAAAATCCTCAGAGAAATTCTCACTGCTGGTGACAATCACATAAACCCTGGAGGGAAATCATGCAAAAGAAAGAGCAATGAAAGGCTTCTATCTCTCATTTAGAGAGGAACTTACAAATGCAGGATGACCTGGGAAAGGCCGCTCTGAGAGCAAAAAGGGATCAGGTTCTCTGTCTCCTGATGCTGGTTTTATGCTAAATCAGATTATAGATGGAGAAAAGCCATGAAGTGTCTTCGACTTTGTTTTCTTACTTTGAAAGTTTAGGTTAAACTGGAACCCATATTTTCAAATTCAGAACATTAGTGTATCTTTGCAATGAGACAAATAGCTGAACTTTTCTTGACTTGCCTTTTTTACCTTATAAATATAGAAGACTGAACTGGAATTTGCATTTTCAAATCTTAGGATTCCCTTCAAGGG